CTTTGTATTTAGAAGGTGAGTCTTAGCGTAACTAGGAAAGTTATCTCCATGTGACTAGGAAGTCACGGGTGCGAGCTGTGAAAACAGCCTCTTGCAGAAATGCAGGGCAAGGTGTACAATAGATCTTACGCTCTTGCCCTTTTATGTTGCTCTTTGTATCTAGATCTAGTGTTCAATTCTTGGACCTATTTTGGTTAATTTACAGTTTTTCTTTCTTCTTTTGAACAGGAATCTGCATCTCTGAGGAACATACCAGTAGTCATTATGTCATCTGAAAATGTTCCTTCAAGAATCAGTAGGTAAGAACAGAACAATCAAATTCATTTCTTTTTGTGTGTGTATACGACTCGAACATGTGACCTATAGGTCGATAACTTTACTGTTGTTCCAAAACTAATTCAATTGTGTATTGATTGATTTACAGATGCTTAGAAGAAGGGGCAGAAGAATTTTTCTTGAAGCCAGTAAGATTATCAGATGTTAATAAACTTAGACCTCATATGATGAAAACCAAATGTAAAAGCCCCAAACAACAACAACAACCTGAGATAATTGTCACACAAGACAATCAAGAATCAAGAGACATTACATATGTTGTTCCACCAGAAGAAAATCAAGAATCAGACAACATAGTACAACAACAGAAATCACAAGACAACAGTAACAACAACAAGAGAAAGGCCATAGAAGAAAATTTATCACCAGACAGAATAAGACAAAGATTAAGTAGCCTTACTGCTATCTAATCTAATGAATGATATGCATATATTATAATTTTCACTTTTTTTTTATCCTTCACAAATTTGCCTAAGTAACATTTTTAGGTTAATTCTTTTTTTGGGGTTTTTGTTATATAATGGTTTCTTGTTACTTACATAACTTGGATAATACAAATATTAAGTTGACATGTAGAAGGTCTATTATACACATTTCCCATGGAAAAAAATTCAGCTAGTTTTGTTTAGGCTAAATCTAAGGAGGGATTACATGTCTTGTCTTTTTGTTTTTGTAAATAGACAAATAGTATATAACATCTTTTTCCCTCAATTTTATGATTTTTTTTTACCTTTTGTGCCTTACGATCTTTAACTAGGGTTCAATTACCTCCTTAACGTGTTAGAAGGGAAATTATGTCCCCCCTGTTGCCCTTTGACTAGTTCCATGGTGGAGAATATAATATACGCGCTCCATGTAAGCACACATCACTGCCACGTCTTTTTTAGCTTTTTGATTGCCATATCATATTTTCCATCACCACCAACCACCACGGTTACCACTAGAAAACTCGATTGCCACCAAGGCTTATACGTGCTTCGAAAAAAAGGAAATATTTATTTGCCATATCAATTTGAAAAGGGGTGGTAGTTCCACTTCAAAGTAACTAAGGAAGGTAATAGGATTCTCATATATAGTTAAAGATCTTATGCAGCAAAAGAAAAGGGTATTTTATATATTTTATATGTTTCTTTTTGTGTGGGGTAGGGTGGGGAAGGGGGCTAGGGTCTTTTTCAAGTGTATTTACAGGAGGAATATGAAAAAGAACTTTGTGATATTAATTTCTTACAAGAATTAGTACTAACTTTGACTAATGGAGCATTGACTATTAAAGTTTTCTAAAGTGATTAGCTTCCTCAAAATCTTCTTCTTTATATAGGAAAGATTTTGGGTAACTTTTCAAGATAGCAATTGATTTGTTGAATAAGTTTTTTTGCTTTTCTTTGTATGGTTGAAATAATGCCTCTTTTTTTGCCTTTTTCTTCTAATGGATTATCTAATGCTATATAGTCAAATGAAATTGAAAATATTTTTCATTCTTAATTAAGAAAAAAAGTGATGTCTTAAAAATGCTCACGTCGCTTTAATTATAAAATTGACTACTCATCGAAATTAGAAAACACTTGTCATGGAAAGATAATCACACTTCTATTACTTATGAATGATCTTTTCTACATGTAATTGTTGAATATTTAACCTTAAAGTATTCAGATATTAAAGAATATAAAAAAATTTCATATATCAATTGCTTGCAAGTTGCAACATTGACTATTAAAGTTTCATGTCTAATCTTGTTTATTTTTTCTAAGAAAGTGTTTTAGCTATCTCAAAATCCTCATTTCTTTAAAGAAGAAAGATATTGGATAAGTTTTGCTTTGGATGGTTGAAAATAATGACCTATTTTGCCTTTTTCTTCTAAAGATGATTTGATGCTAGAGTCAAATATAATTGAAAAAGATTTATCTTTTTTATTTATATAAATGAGGTGACATTTTGAAAGTGTGGTTAAATCATAAAATGAGTTGTTTATTGAGTAAGAAGATGATATCATAATCTTATGAATAATAGCGGAGTCAGAAATTAACAAAACAAAATTGTGCTATTAGGGTTCGAATTCGAAACTCCTTCATTCAAATGGACACCCAATACTACTATGCCAAAGGGAAATTTTTTGTCAAGAGTGTCCAATTTTAAATATATATCTTTTAAATGTAGAATTTGACATATATATACAACGTAGTTTTCCGACGAACTGGACACCCTGGGTGGCTATAGCTCCGCCCATGTATCTGAGTGGTAATCTTTTTGTATTTATGATAAAACAAAAAAATTAAATTTAAAAAATTTGATCAAACAAACTATTAGTAGCATCTTCAATCAATCTTTTGTTTAGTGGGCCTAATTGTTTGTTATGGGCCCTGAATGACTCTGGCTATGTCATAATCTTTTGGGCTTTACACTTTTCATGTCACTATGGGCTCAAATAAGTCCATTATTTGCATCTTGAGCTACAAAATTTTAGAAAGTTTTAAAAAAATTCGACGAATTGAAACAGATAGGCAACTATTACATACAATTCGCAACATATAACGCAATATTAATTAGTAATTAATAAATAAATAAAAAATGAGCAAATTTTAGGAATAGCAAACATAAAAATCATATTAGCGCACTATAACTACAGTTTTGCTATTTGCGCTCTGATTTGCAGACATCTCATTTGTATAAAATCGTAGCCACTGTATATGCATATCGGTTAGATAATTGTATATATGTAACTACTATGTATATGTATCAATGATTGTGTTTGTATATCTGCATAAATTTTGAATTTGTATACAATTAAATCAAGTTAAAACATTTGCATTTGTATATCAAATATCTCTCGCTTTATGCAAACACAGATTATACACAATGTATAATTTGTGTTTGTATAAAGCGAGAAAGAGAGAACGACAAAAGAGAACTGGACAAGGGGAAATTTGTATTTGTATAATTCTAAGTGTATAGGACGAAGATATATGCATTTGTATTTGTATATACAGTTCTCTCTTGCTTTATACAAACACAAACACAATTTATACATTTGTGTTTGTATAAAGTGAGACAAGCGAGCCAGAAAATGGCGAGCGAGATTCCAAAGAGTGTCGAACGAGATTCAGGGGAGAGAGGCAAATGACAATGTGTTTGTTACGAATTAGAATTAAATGAAACTATATCTATATGATTTATTTTGAATTAATAGTTTGCTCTAATGCATAATTTTTTCATAAAAAGACTGGCACATATTAGCCTAAATATATCGACATTTTTAATTATTATGTTTTAAATAATAAAAATATTTAATATCACCTTTCTTCTAACTTCCAACCATTTCTCCTTAAAACTAGCAAAAGATTATTCAAAACAATCTGCTTTCAAATTATTTCGTATTTTTTAAAATCTTTTTTTTGCGATTTTTTTTTAAAAATGGGCTATTTATTGCCAATTAAGTCTATAGGTTATCATACTATTCTTATTTTTTGGAAAAACGATGGAGAAAATGTTTCATTATTTTAAATTCAATTAAGTCATCATATAATAGGGTTGATACTCAATATTTATTGCTTGATATAAATATCGAGTGTAAATTTTCTTTAAAATAATCATGAAAACATTATATGAATGTTTATGTTAGATCACTCCTCATACCTTTGTGAAAGAAAAAAAAACTTTTATATTTAAAATAATCTACGACATAATAGTTAAATGTTTGATATAATTTAATATTTTGCATGAACGTATTTTCCATGAATAATATGTTAGTTAGGAGAATCACTTTCTATTATTTGATTATGAGTAAAGTTTAGTGACAAACAAAAATAAAGTAAGTGTATGATTATTAATATCGCATATTAATTGAAGCAAGTGATATATATGAAGTATTTAATAATAAGTATTATAATTGATAACTTGATAAAAATAATAACATGCCATGATAGTTATCTATTAGTTTGAACTTAGACATATTTATCAATCAACTTATAAACTAAACTCATTATAGAAATTTATTAATATTATTATGTTACCACATATCAATAATCTGATTATATAAATATTTTTACGCAACTATTATTATAAATAAGAAAAAATTGAGTATCAAATATAATAAATTTGAAAAGTTGTGGGAGTTGGTAGTAAACAAATCTTAAAATTATAAAATCATTATTGAAAAAAATAAAACGTTTTATTAAGTTACAAACTAATCTAGCTTATTGTACAAATTTATTTATATTTTTGTTACTATAAATAAATAATAATGTAACTATATATTTTATACTAATTATTATAAACATAAAAAATCCAATATTAAGAACTTGGAAAGTTGGTGAGTTGATGTGAAAAAAAATAATTTTAAATTATAAAATATATCATTGAAAAAATTAACATTTTTATTTAGTTACAAACTAAACTTACTATAAAAATTTATTTATATATTTACCATAAATATGAAAAATCTAAGTATCAAATATAGAAAATCTTTGAAAGTTGAAGGAGTTGATAAGGAAAAATCTTTAAAATTATAAAAATCACTATTGAAAAAGATAGGTAACTGTCGTAACTGTTTTTATTTTGGATAAGGGGTCAATTCATAATTTAACTAAAGTATAGGGACTTCACAGACAATAATATCAAATATATATATGTAGACTGAAAAAGTGTAATATGAGTTTGTCCTTCGGTGATCTATTCGAAGAACTTTGCGAAAAAAAGGAGAAAAACGAGGAAGCGGTGAACAGAAATCAGACGGCACCGGCAACGATAGGTGAGTTTCCGATTAGGTTTTTCCGGCGATATATTGTAAGTGTTGATGATTTGTAGCAGAGATAAAGTTTCGTTGAGACTCAATTTTGTAAAATGGTTGCCCTTGATATGCTGAACTGAACTTATTTGTAAACGTAGAGAAGTTGTAATCGGTTGAAAAGTTGAGTTTTTTTGTAATGTTGGAGTGATATGAGTTTAAATTTAGCTACATGCATAGTGAATGATTAGTAATTTTGTAGAGATGAATTCGACTCGGTTGGGATTTGGATTGAGTAGTTGTTGAGTTACATGTTTGGAAATGGTAAGAAAAAATTGAATTTTGTTGTTTGTTCTCTTTTTTTTTTGTTTATATGTCGGAAACATGTTCTCTACCTCACACAAAGTACGAGTTTGGGGTAAGGTCTGCGTACTACTCTCTAAGATGTATCTCATTGGGATGTGGGCATTTTATAGGATCATAGAGTTATGGTGGTTATGATAAAATGTGTTTTTTTTTATTATATCCATGGTGTTTGTGATCGGGCGAGCTTGCGCATCTCCACTAATTTCACGAAGCACGTGCAAGACCTCTCACTAGTGCAAGTATCGAGTCTCGGTAACTTTGTTCACCGAGGCTTGGACTTACGAGAAGAAATCACATACTCCCTCCGTCCCATTTTATATAAGCTAGTTTGACTTTACACGAAATTTAAGAAAGAAAAAAAGACTTTTGAAATTTGTGGATTAAAATAAGTGATATACGGTTGTGTGGCTATAAATCATTTTATTAAGGATAAATTGGATATTTTAAAGTTAAATTGTTACTCCTAAATATAGAAATGTGTTATTCTTTTTGGAACTGACTAAAAAAGAAAATGAGTCATAAAAAATAGGACAGAGGGAGTAGTATTTTTGCCTTCGCTTAGAATTGCGTGATTAAGTGTGTCATTTATGTTAAAAGTACCTTGTGATTCGATGAGAGAATACTTGTCATTAACAAGGTGATAGCGATGTAGATGATGCTATATTTCCTTTAAGCTGAACTAATACAACAACAACATATTAGTGTAATCCCATAGGTGGGGTTTGGTGAAGGTAGGATGTACGCACACCTTACCCCTACCTTTTTGAGGTAGGGAGGTTGTTTCCGATTGACCTTCGACTCAAAAGAGAAGTTATCGATGTAGGGTTGAAAGGAAATATGACAACAACGATTTCAAGATACAATGCGAATGAAGCACATACAATAATACATACTAGAGAATAAGAAACTACGCGACTACTAACACTACTACTAATAAGGAGGAGATGAGGCTAGCCTTTCCTCTCCCACATAAAGTGCAACAATATTCGGGTACCTACTAACCTTCTACTCTAATTCTTCATCTCCACACCTTCCTATCAAAGTTCATGTTCTCAGAAAGTTGAATTTGTGCCATGTCCTGTCTAATAACCTCCCCTAATTCTTTTTCGGCTTTCGTCTACCTCTCCTAATTTATGCTACATCCAATCTCTCGCACCTCCTCACATTCGCGTACCTCCTTACTAGTGCATCTGCACACATCCTCTTCACATGCACAAACTATCTTAGTCTCGCTTCCCTCATTTTGCTCGCCGGTGAGGCCACTCCCACCTTACCTCATTTAACTTCGTTCTTAATAATGTCTCTCATGTGCATTCCCATACATCCATCTAAGCATCCTTATCTCCGCCACATTTATTTTTTGAACGTGAACATTCTTAATTGGCCAACACTTTGCCCCATACAACAAAGAGCAACACATTCTTCTCGCAAAGTACCCCAGATGCAAGCTTCCATTTCACCAACCCCGCTGCAATACAATGTGCAACATCATTATAAATCTCCCCGTCTCCTTCTATTATGTACCCAAGATACTTGAAGCTTCCCCTCTTGGGTATGTTCTGTGCATTGATCTCTTGAAGCTTCCTCTCTAAGCTGAACTACTATTCGGAAAGATATCACGTCTACTAGAGATATATGGAAGCTATCTTGTACTGGTAGTCTATAGCACCTTCTAATTGAATTGTTCAAATTGTCGCAATGAGGTCATGCCTTCAAATAAATACAATTTCTACACCTGTTCAAATAGCAAATAGATAACATTCCTAAATGAAGCTATATTTGGGTTCTTTTAAGCTATAATTTCCTTTTATACCTTGACCACTGCTTGTTAGGGTATGGAAGATTAAGTTTTTGATCAATCAAAAACAGAAAAAAAAATAGTTTTTGTTCTTTATTATCCATTTTCTTGGAAGTAAACTTCTTTTATGCATTGTCCCTGAAGGGATGACGTAAAGTTATCTCTATAAATATTTCCACCAGTGCCTCCTACAGGGAAAGTGAAGCAAAATTTTATTTTAATTTAAACATATTATACAAACTGCGCCTATCATGCATCTGTTGACACTAACAAAAACATGTATGTACTTGTAGACTTAGAATGATAGGCTTCAGTCCCAGCGTTATTTTGCCCTTGCACCCATACCTTTTTTCCTCATATTTTTCTCACATTTTTCTTCATATTGGAGACTATACGAGTCCTCTCTCTCTTTTTCTATTTATTAGTCAGTTGGTTACATGATAGTAATTTGTGAGTTGGATTTATTTTTTTTAAAAAAATAAGCAGGCAATTAATAAAACTGTGTTTTAAGTGTGAAAAATCCTTGCCTATCCCAAAACACGTTTAAAGATTCTCTTCATGTCCACCGACCCCTATACCCAAATTTTTAAAAAACATTCTAACTTTGCCCTAACTAACTTATGGTTTAAATTTTGACATTGGAGAAGTGATTTTACATGCCAATTATTCTAAAACAAGTGTTACATGTCAATTATGACCAAGTTTTTATCCTTTTCTTTAATAAGTCAAAAGTCATTCGGATGTTAACGTTTACGACAGGATGGCATTTAAAAACTTTACAGCTGACGTAAGTGGATTAGGTTGAAGTTTAAAAAAGGTATATCTAACTAACTACATATGCACAAAAGGATCTTGTCTTTTCACCAGAAGAACATAATGCTCTTGCCTCTCCACATTGTTTTTTCAATGCCTTCACACACACACACACACACATATATATATATTCCTTTCTCTGCAATTCATCCAATATAAACATAGTGGTCTTCCATGCATCTTGTTCCCTAATATCCATCTTTCTCACCCTGTAGTTTTTCCGTAGTTCTCCCATGGGTTTCTGTAGAACTCCTCAACAAGAAGTAAAGAAAGGTCCATACACTACCATGTAACTTTTTACTATGATGAATTCATATGCTATGCTTCTCATCGGAAAACTAACTCGTACACAATGCCTTAGACATAGTTTATATTCTACAACTGGTCTTGCAGAAAAGGAATAAATTAAGTAGCTTGGGATCAAGAGAATGTCATAGCAAATTGCACAGTTTTGCATCTGCTTTGATCAATGTTTTTTGATTGGAGGTTGTAATATCTCATATTTGTTGATCAGATGATCATCATATCCTTTAATGGTGAACGTCAAATGTGCTGGAAATGCTGGCGAGACATGATTACATCTACCATGCAATATCGCAGCACTAATTGTAGGAGAGGAGATTGTGGAGGAAAAGTATTCTTCCACAAGTTGATTTTTCTGTCGCTTCTGTCTCTCTTTTGTCGAACATAGAAAAAATTGAAGTTTCAGATATGGTACTCAATACCATATCTCTGGTACCATGCAGAAAAGGGGAGAAAAGACGTCCGGGCAATATTTCAGCTTCATTGTGACGTCAAGCTAATGGGAGTTTAAACAGTGATGTACAACATCCTAAAATAGAAGGAATTCAAAGAGTACATAATTGCAAGCAAATAATCTTCTTAATTGATCCTAACTGAAAATGAATCTCCCTAATTGAGCTTACGATATATATTTTCACAATATTCTTAACACATAGGGTTACTTGCATTTAGACATTTCTCCTTAACTGTACAACCTGCAGTTTGCTGTGGTTTTGCTTGATGCCATATTGTTGGGTCTTTTATATGTGTAGTACTAGCTTATTGTTTACTATTTATTTTTTGCGGTGCTTTGCTAATTACACCCTAATTATCTAGAAGTTACCTTAACATATCAGGTGATATCAATTGTTATTTATTTTTGGTAGCAAGAGTTGAATTTTTTCTTTACCTGGCCTTGTCAACAGAAATTGCATCAAGTTTCTGCTGAGCTTTTTAACATTGGAAGATTGAAAAAATGTCTGGTGAGCAGGTCAGGAAAATCACGCGTGAAGATATACAACTGGTAAGCATTGTGCTACAATCATAACATTCGTTTTCTTGTTTCTCGGTATGAATCATTTAATAAGCCCTGAATCAAATGGAAAGAGATAGAGCATGCACAATTTTCTTTGAGCATATACAGCAAGTATTTGATTGAATTGCGTGGATAATTTCATAATCTGTAGATATAATTCTTGCTACTTATAACTCTTTCAGTTACTTCAAGGCAAAAGATACTTCACTCCCGCAAGAATTGTTGCCTAACCCTTTAAAAATGTTGGTCAAAATTAACATAATTTAAATCTAGAAAAGCGAATAGTGCCACATAAATTGGGTCAGAGGGAGTGATCTTAACCTCGGCATGTGCATGGTTTAATTTTGCTACATGCATAGTGAATGATTCGTATAGATGAATCCGACTTGGTTGGGATTTGGATTGAGTAGTTGTTGTCTTACATGTTTGAAAAGAGAAAGAAAAAACTGAATTTTGTAGTTTGTTCTATTTTTTTGTTTATATGTCGGAAACATGTTCTCTACCTCATACAAGGCAGGAGTCTGGGGTAAGGTCTGCGTACATTTCACCCTCCCGAGATGTATCTCATTGGGATGTGGGCATCTTATAGGATCATAGAGTTATGGTGCTTTCTCTCCTAACAATGAGTTTCTTTGATTTCAGGTGCAAAATCTCATCGAAAGATGTTTACAGCTTTACATGAACCAGAAGGAAACTGTTGATACCCTCTTACATCAGGCAAAGATTCAGCCTAGTTTCACTGAATTTGGTGGGTCCTCTCTCTTTCTATTTTGTTCCTTATATTTTGTTAATATTATTCTATTGACTTTTTCAGAGAAATATTTATCTGTACTCTCAAGTTTCTTAAAAATTACTTAATTTGGAAGACAGTGAATCTGACGAAATAAAATAGAAAATGACCTGTTATGAGAATTATTATGATGGAGTTAATTCCTTATATGGTCATCCAAGTAATGGAAATAACCTAGCAAAATCACTTCTGTTTTTATGACAAAAATCTTTCAACTATTACTTTATTCTTATAAAATCATCCTATCCTTTTGAACTACTTAACTCACCTAATTTGCTTTGTTGGCATCATGAATTTCATTTTAATGACAAACCCCATTAATTGAACCCACCTAAGACCCAAAATCTGACCAACAAGAACATTAATAGTCTTAATTATACCGTGTTTACATAAAGATACAGTATCTTAATAATCATGTGTATATTTATATATTCTGATGTCTTATTCGTATTAAAAACAAATAAGGTCTAAGACTCCTTATTCTTTCAATTAAAGAAGAAGTTCACTAAAAATCCAACCTCGTCTTGTAACCTTCTTAAATACTATCACCAAATAATTATATTATACAATAAAGAAAAATGACTTGTGCCTTTTATATCAGTTGATGTTGGCGCCAAACAAATAAAAATAAATACAAAAAAGAAAACTGGCCTCCTTTCTGTCATTTTATACTTCAGGCATGTCAGACAATCAGTAGCCAAATGATTATCCACACAAATGTAGCAGATTGAGTTTTATGATTAATGGACAGGTATTGTAATGATCTTCTGATGTTCGTGGAATACTGGAATTCCATACGATAGAATTTTTTGTTGGGTCAGATTTTGGGTCTTGGGTGGGTTCACGTTACGGGGTTTGTCATTAAAGTGGGATTTAAGATTCCAACTAAGCAAAATAGGTGAGTATAATAGAAACTTAAAAGGCTAGGATAATTTCATAAGAGATAAAGTAATAGTTGAAGGACTTGCTTGTGATAAAAAAAAAACAAAAGCGACTTTGTTGGGTTAGTTTGATTACTTGGATGACCATTTAAGGAATTAACTCTATTATGATGAATAGTAGGAAGAAAATTATTTGAAGAGGGATTATGGAAGGCATTCCTCCTCCTACTTCTATTCAGAGTAGTATTAGTTATCAATCAGAAATAAAATATTTAAGCTTATTCTGATGGAGTTGAAAAATGTATGAAATTATTATTAGTATTTGTTTTAAAATGTGTTTGGCCTGTCTTATCTCGAGTAGTTGATGGTTGTGATCTATGTGCTTCATGTGTCTACGGGGAGTTAATTTGACATCTTGATCTCTTTTCCAGTGTGGCAAAGGCTTGAAGAAGAAAACCATGAGTTTTTCAGGGCTTATTATACGAGGTTGATAGTAAAAGATCAAATTACGAGATTCAATGAGTTGCTTGAGAGACAGGCTGAGTCAATGCGTATGTATGCAACTGAATCCGTTCCTGTGTCTAATGGATCTCAGATTCAACCAGGTAAGATATGAATTCATAGATTCCCTATTGATCTTCTTGGAAATAATTATTATGCCTGTGTTTTTCTTTTCCATCATAAAATTTGTTATAGTTTCCCACTCTTTTCCAATTTTCAGCTTCCTTGCTTTGTATTTTCATACAATCGAATAGGATTTTAGGTTGGATAGTCAAAGAAAAGTTTGAGGGTTTAAAGTGGCAGATCAAAATGTGAATATTAGGGATAGTTATGGGAAGGATTTTTTCAGGAAAAGTGTCCCAGAGGATCTGTCTTTCGGCACTGTGATTGTGTTTTCAACTTGAGATCATTCATACTTGTTGAAGTTGGTGAATATGATAAAATTCTTTTCTTGATTTTGATAAGTAAAATTGAGTAAAAGTTTGAGAGAAATGGAGGAAACAAATGAAGTTTTGGCTTCATCCAAATCATCAACATCGTAGTCTCAAAATCTTCCTTTAGTTTCTAGATGCATGTCAGACGTGAGATAACCATGGTATGTATGTTATTATTTTAGTTTCCCTTTTTTATTTCGTTTAGATTAAGGGTGAAGGAGTGTACATTGCAACCCTGAAAACAAACACATCTTATGCATTTGTATACCTGTTATATTGCTTTAAGTTTTGTACGATTTCATCCTATTAAATACTGATAAGGAAAAGTAAGTGATTATGTACTATCACATATTGACAGTAGCACAGAACTCAACCTTTCAAGCAACAGAGCATGCTGAGCCTAATGTGAAGCTTGCCAACATGCACCCGACTGTTAATGGCAATTTACCTCATGTTTACACAAATGGTGCTTCGTCAGTCCAATCATATGCGCAAGCTGCTATGGATGTTTCTGCTCATGCAAGAAGCATTGATTTATCACCAAACATGCTATTGCCTCAGCATGCAAACCTGGGACTGATGCAAGGACCAAATGGGGGGATGATCAACTCAGCTGGTTATTCAGGCAACAATGGTGGTGAGGGCATTCTCCAGCAGGCTCGTCCTGGAGTTGGAAATTCATATGTTGAGCCAAGTGTACAACCAGTGATTGAGGATCCCTGGGGTGTTGATACTTCTTCCTTTGGTTTCTTGGGAAAGATTCCTCGAAACTTCAGTTTCTCAGACTTAACAGCTGATTTTCCCAACACTTCTGGTTTGTGCTCCCTTCTCTTCTGGAGTAATATCGTCATCAATTTCACATTGTTATATGTTTTTACTTTCTGTTCTATACAGAGATTCTAGAGGGCTACTCTGGATCAGCCTTTCTTGCAACAGATACCAACGACTTTTTGGATCCTCAGGATAGGGGAGAACAAGAAAATCAAGGTTAGTTGTGTGGCATCTGATATTGAGTTCTTTAGCTTAGTATATACCAATACTAATATCCGTCCCAATCTGGCAGCCATTGACGAATTGGATACTATATCAGAAGACGTGAGTTTTGACGATCTTTGCAGTGATTGAATGACACTATTCAGATTACCATCTTGCAGAGTTAACCCGTCTATGTAATCTTATCTGGTTTAGGGGTATAGTTTATTTCAAGTATTCTAACTTAATGTCCATAGCGAAGCAAGTTGTGCTTTACTCTCTGTTAAATTGGTTTCTGAACCTATCGACATGTTTTTATCGTATTGACTTCAACGTCTGCTGGTCCAGTTGCTTGTAAATAGAATTGTGAATTTAAAAGTGCTTTGGTTTCTTTTGGTAGTATTGATTCATGTGGTTAGACTGAGAACACCCGCGCAAGGACGCGGGGTGGAAGGTATGCTCAACCCCTGATACATTGATATTTCTTGATCCTTGCTTCTAGGGATAATGAGTCGGTTGGCTCTTAGAGTATAGCCTCTCTCGGGGTTAGCGATAAGAGTACACCGGCCCGTGTGGTAGCGGGCGAACTAAGGATTTCGTGCTTGCAAGGAAGCGTGCAAGTGGGTGAACGCATCACCAGCCAAGCTAGTCACTTGGAACATAGGTGATAAGAGTACACCGGAACACAAACTTCTTACCCCTCCCATTGACTAGCAAGTGTGCCATGATGATCGGCCTTACTTAGCTGCTCTGAATTCTATGGTGTGTTCGGTTTTCTCATGTTCCGTAGATCAAAATTTTTGAATAATATTTTCTATAGGAAAATCGAGGAAAATGATTTTAAAAAAAATTGAAAGTAGGGAAAATGAGTTTACTTCTGATGTTACATATTGATTGTGTCCTTTCCACTCTCAGTACACCTCAACTTCACCGTCACCCATAGTTCCATCTCCACCACCCCACTTGAGTCACTTTCATAATATTTATTTAGATTATATACAAATACTTTTAGAATAATATTTTTTTGCTTATATATCGAACACAAGTAAAAAAAATTACTTATTTTTCTAGTTCATATCGAACACACCCCTAATGTACTCCAAATTGCGATAGATGATACAAACTTGGCGAAACAAAAAGTCTAACTGGATTTTTGTACAATGCATCATATGAATTGAAACATTGTTACACCATCCTAATTAATCTATTATATATATATGTTTTATAAATATTAAGTGCTAATAATTTTTTATCATACACTATCTTTTTCTATTTACCATGTCTTTTCATATATTTTTATCACTAAATTATACTTAATATATGCATATTCTTCCCTAATTTAATAAATTAGTATTGTATTTGTTGGAAAATACATTTTAGGAGACTTACAAGTTTCTCTTTTTGGAAGAAGATTCGAGTCTCGACTTGAGTCACCCATCATTTTTTTCTCTTAAACTTTAGTCTCATAGTATGGTGGAAAACTAGTATTTCTTTGGACACTCATTATGATTATATTATATATTAGGTAAGAAGACATGAACTAATATGCTAATGGGTTAACTACACCTCTTGCATGTGGACCCAATATTTTTAACAAAATATGATTTGATATAAACATCAGGTATGGATAAATTTTGACTAATAAGAGGCTGAAAAAACACACATAAATTATTATTTTTTACGAGTTTTATATCTTAACTATTCATTGTTCTCTTTATCTATTTAAATTATCACTTTTTTGGTATTAAAACACTTCAATGTTGAGTTGTTCAAATATTATGTCAATCAACAACAGGCGCATGTAGTCAACTGAACATCGATATGTATTTTAACACAAAGAAAGTGATAGTCAATATATGAAACTCACGAAAATATAATACTTTTAAGTAGATAAATTGAAATGTGAACTTCAATATTTACACCATTAAGTTATCCTCCAATAGTCCTTTTCCTTTATTTACTTGTATTCAAGCCTGAAACAATTATAAAAATATGGACCCAATATGTAATTTTCAAGATAATTTTGGGGGTTAAAATGAAACTAAACAGATTTTCTAAGACTTAACTGAAAATTTATAAAATCACCATAATAGCACAATCCAAAGTTTTAAGAAGGTTCCAGTGAGGCTCCATCAACCTGGGCGAAGCTCAAAGGTAAATCACCATCGGAAAACCCCTTTTCCCTTTTAAATTTTTGTTTTATGTTGTGGGTTTTGGTTGTTGGGGCCTTGGGGGGTGGGGTTGGGCAAAAATTGATTCTTGAACTTGGTATTTAGGTTTGGTTGAAGAAATTTAATCTGTGTTCTTGAATTCATGATTATGCTAGATTCTCAATTTTGGAGGTGGAGGGGTTGTACTATACTGGATTCTTGATCTTTTTGAAACAAAAAAATTGAATCTTTTCTGTTAACTGAACATTTGGAAGGTCTTGTAAATGTTGCTGGGTAAATTGAGTTAGGGGGGGTGCTACATAAGTACTAAATTTTGAAGTTACTGATGGATATAAATATGAATATTTCATACAGAGAAGGTAATTTGGAATTTTGGATGATGCTTGAGCTTTGACATATGTGATTTTTATACAAGTAGGTATAGTGTATGTCTCTATGTAGCAATGATAGTGGCTATGTATCATGTCCTTGTGTACAACAATGTTGTTAGGTGCTCGCTATTTTTTTAGCCTTGGTATCTTATCATCTTGTTGTTGTTTCTTCTTGTTACTATTACCTTTTCTTTTTCACTGTTCGTTCTGTTCATTCAGCTGAGGGTCTATCGGAACAGCCTCCCTAACATTAGTTACAACAATGAGTTTACTGCTGTTGTTGTAAAAAGACAGTGGGGACTTTTTTGTTAGTAATGTTATTAATAGTTGCGCATTTGGACCTGTGCCAGATTTGTTTCTATAAGTACTATAGTTCAGTCACAACAACATTAGAAGCACCAAATTGGTGCTGCAAAAGCTTTATGAATCTTTCTTCTGAAATTGTCTAGTTATGGTTCATATTTCTTGCCTACATGATGATGAATCTTGTAAGCTGTTAAGTTCTTAAGTTGACACTTTTTTAAAAATTCTGCAAAGCACCTCAAGGTGATTAAGCACACTAGAACGGCTTTAGGCATTGCCGTATCAGTCTCAGAAAGAAAAATATAGTCCAGATATCTTTACAGTTATACCACCTCACTATGCAAATAAGAGATGATTCATTGTTTCATCCTCCTGGCTCACATGGTTACATGTTTTTCAAATATCCAGCTTACAAGCTAGTATAGGTTTCCTCTTTCAATCCACATCCAGACAATCATTTCCTAACTGTGTGTGACTCTGCTGGCTTTCTCAAAAAAATATGTTCTGTGCATCCGATGCTTTGACTACTTCTAACCTCAAAGGCAACAACTTTGGCATTAATCTAATAGTAATAGATACTTATATTTGAGCTACAATGAGTGGAAATTAGTAGCTCAATCAAGCTCATCTCGTTTCTTGAAGATGCATCTAGTCCATCCTGAAAATAGAAGGTTGTCAGGACATCTCTCTTACCTATCGGCTATCACCCAACATTTTTATTATAAACTCCGTTGTGCATCTATCCGATCTGGTAGCATAAATCCTGCTCGTGAATTTTCTGCTTCTATGACTGCTTAACTCTCTACTTAAGTTTTATCTTCTTCTACTAAACCTGCAAGATGAATTTCTTCCACTGTTAGAAGTAAATGATTTCATTCTAATTCTCATTTGTGTTGTCAATTATTCTGTCAGTAATGAACAATTTGAAGATACTGTAGTAGCGGCGATGTGTATTTTCCAGTCTATACAAAATCTAGTGTTTTTGTCTGCTTCCTTGATCCACCATGTTCTACATTTTCATGTTTCCCTATTGTGTCCTTTGTTGATGCCAATCTTCTCAGTTTTCCTTTTAGCATTTCATGATAAATCCTATTCGTCAACTTCTTGGACTTTGAATCCAACCAGTTCTTTACTTGGTCTTCAAACCCTTCCTTTCAAAATGCATGGTCTCAAATCTGATAGGTGTCTTGATTATCTATCCAAATCCAGCATTATTGGTAAGTGATCATAAAGAAGTCTCAGTAGTAAAAACTCCCTTGTATTTGCATATTTCTCTTCCCAATTAACTGAGATTAAAATTGTTCGAGCTTCTAAAACTTCCCTATGTTTTCTCCAATCAGACCAAGTGAATCTTCCTCCTGTCAATGGAATCTCTCTCGGATCCATATCCAGAATTAAGTCTGAAAAAATCCACTGTATCGAGAAGTGACAGGACTTATTTAATCTTTCTTCCAGAGAATGTGTCTCATTAAGTTACTCCAAGACACCAGAGTACATTCCATAATCCTTTTGCTGTTGCTAAATCATAGAACAACTTCGCCCGTTTATAGTTTGGATTACGTCATGGACCTTGGAAGTCCCCAAGAGAAGTTGCTAATGCCAAATTCAAGCAAATAGGAAATAAAGTAATCCCCAGCAAGCTTCTCTTGACATGGTTAACCTCCTATCTTGCATATCTACCTTTCTAAAAACATTGGTGCTATGCACTCTGGCTTGTATAGATCATAGGAATTGCATCTATAGATCATAGGCTTGTATAGATCATAGGAATTGCATCTCTTTCCCATTTTCGGTGAACCTCTCTAATATTACAGCCAAGTCCCTCCCTGTTGTGTCATTTCCCAACTCCATAATGATTACTTCCGCTACTCATATTTTTGCAACTTTGCTCCATGGGTCAAAAGAGCAGAAATCACTGGAGAGGACAGCTGTGCTGGCGCGATCCACTTCAGCCATCATCATGGTGTTCCAGCACGAATGTGTACACACACGAGCGCACACACATAATACCCTTTAACTACGTTAAGTTGGTTGCAGCATGATTAGCACTAAGATGATATATTCGTGTCGCGAGTAATTTGCTGTGCTATCAAAATTATGTGAACTGTGGTTTACCTCTTTTTCTAAAGATTCTGGTGAATTGCTTCTGCTTAGGTGAAATTTGCTGTTACTCATCATGGAAAGTTTAATGAAAGAGTATGCTGCTTTTGAAGAGAAAGTAAAGCGTACTATATTCATTGACAGCCTTTCACCTGCAGCTACTGAAGCTGTCGTTAGAGCTTCACTTGATCAATTTGGGAATGTCATTCAGGTCAAGTTTATCCCAAACTACCTTGAACCAAAGAACGTTGGACTATCTGCATTGGTTGAGCTGGAAAATGCAAACCAGGCGAAAACTATAATCTCCGAGATAAGCAGTTCCTCATTTATGATCTGTGGTATGCCAAGGCCTGTCAGGGCACGTGCTGCTGTAGCAGAGATGTTCGATGACCGTCCTATAAAACCTGGTAGGAAGATAGTATGCCGATGGTTGGACTCCAGCGATCCTGATGTTGAGGTCGCCAAGAAGATGAAGCATTTGGTTAGCAAACATGCAGAAGAAGCCAAGTTTTGCCTCAAGGTAAACTTTCTTTATTCATTTCAGTGTATAATACTCTCTCGTCACACTTTTACTTGTCCACAATTCTAAAAATAGATGTCCACTCTCACTTGTCCAGTTTAGAAAATCAAGAGTTAATTTAACACTTAGTTCCTAATTTATCCTTATTATAAACTATAGTCATTTTCCAAAACATTGAATTTATTATATTTAAAGGGTGATACTATAAATCTGTCATTCTATTTATTGCTCCTGGAGGGGTGTGCCACTGGACAAGTAAAAATGGGCGGAGGATCTCACATTTAAAGTAAACATGTTTGTTAGAAGTTCATTTTTTCTCTGTGTAGCATCAACTAGAGGAGGAGGAAAATCTTGCGAAAAAACAGACAGAGATCTTGAACGCAACTTATAAGAAGTATGAACTCATAGACAGTGTTGTTGGCAACAGAGTCGCTGAACGTCTGTCAGAACGTTACAGAGTGCACGCTGCAAATGCTGAGCAGCAATAAACTCGTCTGTCCAACGCTTTGCACAAGAAACTAACATAGACCTAAAGATTTTGCTCCCTGGCAATAGATTGACATGTTTTGCTTTTTGGTAAAAGATCATATTTCAGGCAGTGTAGAGAGAGCTCACTCTATAAAAGCTTGTGTAGTGTTTGGTTGATCTTGAATTTATGTTTCAAGTAAACCTTCAAGAGAGTACTTAATATTATCTGTTATGGTATAGCTGGAGTGTGAAAGCTAATGTGTGTGTGTGAAGCCTGTATCCGGTACGGAGTTTTCAATTTTTTCATGTTCGGTTGGAAAGTATTTTCAAAAATGATGATCCTAATAAAAGTAGGGAAAACAAGTTTCACAAGTGGCATTCAACATTAATTGTGTGCTCCTTCCCTCCAACACACCTCATTTTTACCCCATTCCTCGATAAAAAATTACTGAGTTCACGTGAATATGTTTGTTACATGCTAAAGTGGCTTCCTTGGTACAATAAACAACATAATGCAAATAAAACAACACAAAAGTCAAGTACTTTATAATTAAAGATTTGTAATTGGACTAGCAAACTCAAGTAGCTCTGGATCTCTTTCAAATATAGCCATATCTTGTTTATCCAACATGACTATAACTTCTACTCCACCTGCACTTTGGTTATCCAATAAATAAGATTAAATTAGTAAACTAGTCAAAAACAATAACATAATTAGTAAAAATATCCATACTTCATAAATATTAGTAAAAATGTCAAAAATGTCATTATTTTAAAAAACTTTATGTATCCTAATTTTCTTCCTACTTTATCTCCCATTGACAATTACACGTTTTCAATTAATTATCTCTCCTATTTTTTTTTAAAAAAACTTCTCTCTCTCATATTTATCTTTTCAGATTCTTAATTCTCTCTCTTATTTAAAAAAAAAATCCCTCTCTCATCTTTATCTTTTCAGATTATCCTCCAACATTCAAGTTGCCCATATATCTCTTCTGTAAATTTTGATTGTTTTTTTCAGAAATTAAATCAACAACAATCTCTTTGATTAAGGTATTAATCTTTATCCTATTTTTAGATTTCTTTTCTGATTTTATTTTTGTTTAAATCTTTAAAGTTTGTTGTTTGTAGTTGAAATTTCGGTTAGGGTTCACTCTCCATTGGCTGAATCCAAGAGGCTTACTAGAGGTATTCAACTTAATCAACAAAAATTGCTAGCGATTTTTCATCCTTTAATCTATTTATTACTCAAGAAATAGCGGATAATGTAGGATCCGCTGCTAAAATGAGGGAAGAGAGACGATCAGAACATTTACAGGACCCAATCGGTGTGCAAAACCTTCTTCAAATTCAGAACGGAAATGTAGAATCTTCGTCTACTCGTGGGGATCTTGAAAAAGACGACGAAGAACGAATAGTTGTCGAACAGGATGGAAACGAAGAGGTATTTAATTATTTTTGCATGTTCAGTTTTTTGCATGTTGAGTTGAAGTTGTTAAAGAACAATTTTTTTCAATAATTTTATTTTAGACTGCAGTTTT